TATTTTATGTAACTTCTCTGAAATTCTACAAATGACCAAAAAAAGTTAAACTTGCAAGGTTTACCCGTTCAACTTGCTTCCCGCTCTTTCCACTTATCATTTTTTTTTATTAAAAAAGAAAAGCTGGTTCTCAAATCTACCCACGGACAGCGGATTAAAGCCGCAGTTTGCATAGAAACAGATGAATGACACTTGAAAATTTTAATTTTTATATTCAATAACGCAATAAATAGAGCATATATATTTAACGATAAATGTGACTTTATTAAAATTAAAATGCAAAAACATAATGATGAATGGAAAAGTAAATACAATAATCCCGGGTTACTCATTAACAAAAATAATTTAGAAACCCGAGTATAACAAAACGATTCTTATATAATTTTATCCTTTCCTTTCATTTTCTTGTACGAGAATCATAGGTCTCATAAATGGATCTTCCTTCCTTTCTTCTTTGGTTGCACCTCCAACCCAATTAAAGATGCTAAAACGCCTTGTATTTTTAGTAGAATCTTTTCTTTGTATGCGTTTTGATGTTTCACCAAAAGTAATTGTTTCTCCTTTTGACTTTCGGTCACTTGGTAAGGGATATATCTGAAGCGGCTCTTCAACTATTATTTTGTCGTTTAATATTCTACCACTATTTTGAGCTTGAGAAATGCTGCTGTCATGACTTCCAGACCAAGATTTACGTCTTTCCATTTTCTTAGTTTTGGTTTTTTGTCTTGGATTATGATTGAGACTTTGTGATCTTGTAGTAGTAGTTTTTGACGAATTGGGTACTGATGGATTTTTCCATTCTGGTGTCGAAGATAAAACCTCTTCAAAACCTTGAGCTTCCATAATACGATTTAGAATCTTTTCAATATAAAGGCTCATAGACTTATTGGCGTCCTTAAGGGACTTAACTTTTCCTTGCAATTCTATATCAGAATATTTGAATTTAAAATAAATAACAAAATATAAGTTAAAACATTTAGTTTATTATTAATTACATACTTTCAATCATAGCATGATCACTCTCTTTATGAACACGTTCGTTATAGGGAAATGTGTTTAATAAAAATGCACGATCAAACTCGGCAGAAAGGTCAAGACTTTCCATTTTAACGCTATCATCTTGCGGGAAAGTACTCTCATCATTCGTAACTTGTTCTGTATGTTTTTTTTCTGAACCAGAGTCATTTCGCTATAGTAAAAAAAAAAAAAGATAAAAATACGAGAATCAGTTAATATAGATAATTAAACATTAAATAATTGTTTTTATAAAATCTTTTACCTGCATTTTAGAATTCAACCTTCCATTTTCTTTCCATAATTCTTGATTTATATGCTTCACTTGTGACAATTCATTTTCTAATTGTTGAATTCTACGTACAAGACTTTCGTTAAAATTCATGGATTCCTGTTTGACTTCTTCAAACTTGGCAGTTATTTCATTATTACATCGTTCTAGTTCTTTGATAGATTGTCGAGAATTCATTGTAAGTAAGGTTGACTCAAAAATTATCTGATTAACACTGTATCCGAAGGATATTAATACGAAACTTTTTGATTAGACGATCTTTCATTTAAAGGGTTAATCGAGTTTTAAGTTATGTATTATATATATTCTGGTAAATGCTTCACAGTAGATAAAGAAATTCTTATTTTCCAAATTGTACTTCGATAAATTGACTTTCTTGCAAAGATTACATATTTGTTTAATATGAATTCCATTTTATTTTAATCGTGTCGGAAATTAATTTCCTATTTCAGCAAAGCATGATATGATCTTGTCGGTACTGTAGCTGGATCCATTTTTACAATCAAATTTAAATTGGCATAGATTCACGAAAGAATCAAGAAACAATGAACAGATAATATCAATCAATCACACGACAACAAAAAAAAAATCTCCGACATTTTTATTCCTTGTTTCTGCAGTTTTTATAATTACGGTTTCGGCATTCGTTTTACTTTTTTTCTAGTTTTTCTATTGGTTGCCGCATTAATTTTTTGAGGAAAAAGGAAATTCTAAAATATTACTTCTTTTCCAATTATGGCTTCCAATCGCATTTCAAAATGAATCGCTTACAGGTAATTTTTTAATAGAATTACGATTTTCTTTTCTTTCTAAATAACCAAGTAAAATAAATATATTTAGAATCAAAAGAATCAGGGCATCTTTTAAACAAATCTTATAAAAGAAAAACAAGATTGCTAGAAAAATCGGCTTCTTTCCGAAGATTATAGAAGAATCCAAACTTATTCAAAATTTAAATTTAATTTATTTACATTTATGATCTTATTAAATATTAGTTAATATATGTAATAAAAATTTATAATCAAATATATCAAATTAGTTGATGTATATTTAACAAATCTAACATATATCATATTTTATTCTTGATATTAAGATTTATTAATCTTTATATAATATATTAATTAATTATTTTATTTATAAATTTTTTTTTATTTTTTAATATATGTTATAATTTTACAAAAAAAAAAAAAAATATAAACATATAATAAGAACGGAAATATTAATACAAATTATATAAAATTATTAATAAATATTATTGATTTTTATAATATTCTAGATAATATTTCTTATTAAAATTTAATTAATTAATTAATTACTTGTACTGATTATTAATATTAATTAAAGTTATATTTAGTTATATTTAAAGTAAAAAATAAAAGTAATGTTTTCATAAATAATTATAATTACATCTTTTTATAAGTTACAATTAATTAGAATTAGAATTTTATAAAATCAAATCAAATTAAAATCAAATTGAATTTTTCAATTTAAATTAAATTGAATTAAATATTTGATTAAATATTTAAATTACAAATTAAATAATACCTTTAAATATTAAAAAAAATGATAAATAAAAATTGAGTCAGGTCAAGTTATAAATCAAAATCTTAATTCTTAAAATACTTTTATTAAGTTAATATAATTATACTTATATAAATTAAAAGATTTATTTTAAAGTATATGTATAAAATTATCTTTAATATGATATTTTTATATTTGAAAATTTTATTATACTTTTAACATTCAGAAATAACTTTTAATAAAATAAAATATTTTAAGACACACGTCTTATAAAAAAAATTTTAAAATATTAGTAAATTATATTGTAAGTTTAAAGAAAAAAATATTAGCTAAAAATAGTTGTTGCTAAAAAAAATATTAAACATATTTCTAAACTTTAAAAATAATTTATTTTAACTTAAAAAGTAAATATAACGCCTTGAAATTTTTAAAACCGTTTAGGACCGCTTAACGTTTTAAAAAAAAGGTTATGATTCGATTCATCATTTCCACCAATTATTTTCTACGAAGAATTTAAGAAGTTTAAATGACTCTTGAAGAAACTAATTAAACTGAATTAAATTCTGTTGTTAATTCATTTAGAAATTTCCAAAAAAATACGAATAAATATTTTAAAAAACAATTTTAATCATCAATGAAAAGCTTTTAATTTAGAATAATGGTTTGGTTAATTTCTATCATAATCATAAGGACGCAATTAAATCATTTTGTTATTTTAATTATATAATTAAAAATACAGTGAAATTGTAATTAATATGGTTTATATCTTCTTGAACGATATCGATTATTGTATCTATCTGAACTAGATTGCTCTGATAATTCATGAGCTGCTTTAGTAGCATTGGGATTGAATTGAGAATGATATCTACCAGTAGGTTCAGATTCGTTTACCATGTGAGGATTAAGAAGTTTCTGAACTCGCAAACGTTCTTTTTTCTCTCTTGCTAACCTTTCAGAACGTAACTTTTCTATTGATGACGGTGAAGACGATTCTGAATTACTTTCTTTACCTTTATTCTAATAAAATGAACATAATATTATTAGTCTAACAAGAAAAATTGCATTAAATTTCGAAAAAGACTTTTTTCTTGTTCCTTACATATGATCGATCGCGTTTCTCACGCGTATCAACTTTATTTTTCTTTTTTGACCTCGTATCTAATTTTGATTTCATTATTAACAATGGATCATAAATAGATACGGAACCCTCAACTTTGGACCTTGAAAAAGAAATTTTGTTAATTAATACAGAATTTCTATAGATCCTTATTAAACATATATATATATATATATACCCATTTATTTGCTCTTCCTTGTATTGTTTTTCAAATTCACTTTCTACTCGCGTATACCATGGCCTTTGTTCTGTTCACATAGATTATTAAAACGAATATATAAATATCATGGTTTTGAAAAAAAAAAAAAAAAGATAATTTTTAACATACCTTTGACCACATCTCCTAGATACATTGTAAATTGTTTCTCCCATTTTTTTTCTTTTGCTCTTTTTTCTGCTTCGTATTCTGGGTTTGTTGATACAACTGCTAATGACTCCTAATAAGTAAATATATTAATTTAATTTTCAAAAATTGATAAAAACAAAACTGATTAGTAACCTTTTCGAGATCAGCCCAAAAATTGATATGATTTTGAATCGGATCAGTATTCTGGTTAGATGTTTCTTCCGGTGGCTCATCCTTATTCTCTCCAGTTACAGCTTGACGTTGCTTTGCACGCTGTCGGAGGATTGATAATCGATGTTCTCGCTCCTAAATTTGAATATAAACATAAGTATAATTATAAAATACTTGGCTTAAAAAAAGAAAAATTAATATATTGTGAACTTACTGCAATGTTAGCTCTTTCTCCTCTTGCTTCTTCCTCTTGTTTTGCTTTTTCTTCATCCTTTCGTACACGTTCTTTGTTTTTAAGGTTGTATACATGATAACTAAATAAACACGGATTTATCAACGATTCTTGGAATATGAACTATACATTAAGTAAATCTAATAAAGTACCTTTAAAATATACCTTTTATGTGGTAAAATGTTCATATTGTATTATTGACTTTTAAACCAATTGGTGGCGAATTCGGGCTTTTTATTTTTAGGGCTAATTATGACAAATGATTCAAATGATTATATAATGATCGTACGACCAATTGAATGACGAAATGGATCATTTTACATTTGATTATTTTGAAACGATTCTTGGTAGCGATATTTTAATGTCAATTTCACACGAAATAATGAATATCAAAGAACTAGAACGACATAATAATGAAATAAATGCTAAACTTGAGGAAGCTAAACAAGAATCCTCGAATTTTAGCTCAAGTCTTGTGCGTAGAATTCAACAATTAGAAAATGAATTATCACGAGTGAAAGATATGAATCAAGCATTAATAGAAGAAAACGAAAAGATATTAAAAGGTGCATTTATGTTGAATCCTATCATGCAGGTAAATAATTCATATTAAAAATTGTTTAATGTTTTTAATTATTGATCCTTTTTTTTTTTTTTTACCTATAGCGAAATGAATCATACACAGAAAAAAAACATACAGACACCGTTGAAAAGGTTACGAATGGTTATGAGAGTTCTTCCCCAAAAGATGATGATATCGCTAAAATTGAAAACTCGATTGCAACAGACTTGACTGAAGAGTTTGATCGTACATCTTTATTAAATACTTTCGAGCGTGTTCATAAAGAGAGTGACCATTCTATCATTGAAAGTATGTATTAATAATAGCTAAACATTTAAATTAATATAAATAAAATTCTTTATATTAAATTTAATATTCTGACATATAGAATTGCAAGATACAATTAAGTCACTTAATGACGCCAATAAGGGTTTGAGACTTTATATCGAAAAGATTCTTGATCGTATTATGGAAGCTCAAGGTTTCGAAGAAATTTTATCTTCGGCGCCAGAATGGAAAAATCAATCAGTATCCAATCCTGTATCATCTACTACAGCGTCATTTAGTTTCAATAATGACCCAAGTCAGGAAAACAAAACTAAGAAAATTGAAAGACGTATGTCCTGGTCTGGATATCAACCTCAAAATATTTTTACATCAGACGATAAAATATTTGTGGAAGAGCCTAGTCAGATTCATCCTTTACCAAGTAAAAGAGTATCTAATGTAGATACTGTTACTCTTTGTGATGTGCCAAAACGTGCACTACATGGAAATTCTACATTTAGTGCTAAAAATACGAAACG